CCTGTGGCTGATCTCTCATGCGACTTCGGGGAAAATCCTAGACGTATTGCACAATGCCATTCCCATCTCTATTACCGATGTGCTTGGAGTGACCTATCAAAAAAACAACCATTTCAATTCAGTAAGTCTAATTACGAATGTTTTATTCTGTGCGTCGAAAGGTCGTCGACAAAATTCTCTGAATCGTGTTTATCATGTATATTATCATAATTCCGTTAATATAAATGTGTATACTTTTCATCCTCGCTTCTGATGCATCAGTCTGTAGTTTGAAAGATTCAGGTACGGTGCTTTTAAAATTCTCTCATTTCTGTCGTGTATAACAAATTGCAACGTTAGATCGCAGATCAGTTTCCGTGTCCTTTAATTACGTTTTGTCGTATTCAGAATGTGCTGTGATGAATGAATTTTTTCGTATCGAAACGACATCGCGATTGATGAATCATAGCTTAAAGATGAAACGTATTTGTAACGATAAAGAGAACTGCAAATGGTTATTACGGTTTCGTTTTTGCATAGATGAATCTGTAACGCCAGTATTAATACATAGATAAACGTTTTCTCCTATCTAATATTTTTATTACTGTTATTATGTGCTCGGGATTCTTAGAATGAAAGGTCTGATCATCACGTTCTCGTTCCTGTGGCTGATCTCTCATGCGACTTCGGGGAAAATCCTAGACGTATTGCACAATGCCATTCCCATCTCTATTACCGATGTGCTTGGAGTGACCTATCAAAAAAACAACCATTTCAATTCAGTAAGTCTAATTACGAATGTTTTATTCTGTGCGTCGAAAGGTCGTCGACAAAATTCTCTGAATCGTGTTTATCATGTATATTATCATAATTCCGTTCAGCATATTATCAGATATCTAATCGCGTTAATCAATTCCTCGATACCTAATTAAACTGCGAGACCTCCGGGACAGGAAATACGATTTTCTTCACTTAAAATCGTACATGCTTTGTAAAATTTGTGGAATCTTGTAATTATGATCATTACGGGTCATAACAGAATTTCTTTATTCCATCTTAGTACTTACTGAGTACATTGTGTCCCAT